AGTATGTGTTTAACATGATTAATTATGTTGACATATTCAGTAGAAAATAACTTATAAAATATGATGTCTTCTGTTTTTCTTGGAAAAGTTTTAACAGTAGTGAGTATTGTGCTTCAAAATGTGTCTTTTGAAGATGAGTTCTATTTGGTGATCAGCTTGTTGTTTTAAGTAAAAACTCCTGTCATGTTCTAGAGAATTATTCACAGGTGAGGAAGGGAGTCAAAGTAGCCACATGAGAGAGATAGGTATATTAAAGTGGGAAAAAAGTAGTTACCTGCGCTTTAAAACTCTGGAGCTAACATCCTTATTATTGCAAACTGGGACGCTGGCTCCATGCCATCGCAAAGTGTGTCAGTCACAAGCTCAGTCTGTGCTGCAGTACTCACCTGTTCTTTGAAAGGCTTTTAAATAAACAGCTGACTGCCACAGAGCATTTGAGAGCTGGAGGTTATGGGTCTTAGTGACAAACAACAAACCATAGGGCAAAGTTGTCTCTTCAAAAGAGCCTGCGTTTCCTGCCAACGGCGCTGAACTGAATCATTCCAAGGCTAGCTTTGCTTAAAGTCTTCTTTCCCCAACCTTTGTCAGGTTTCAGGATCTCTGGGTTTGAACATTCAGGATCTCTATTGAACATTACTCCAAGGGGCATGTCAGATCCAACAACAGTCTCCCTGGAGTTCATCCCTGAATCATATTTTGCTGGCACAGAAAGAATGACTGTTTATAAACTCCTGGTTGGAGTATCCCTCCATCATGCAGCCAGCAAAAGAAAACACAAGCACTTCTCTGCAGGTTTTGTTTAGCTGCTGCTTGCTGGCAAATGGGCTGGATGCTAATCTTTCAGCTATTTAGAGAGCATTTTTTATGGCATTTATGTTTTATTGTGTGAGGACAGGGTCTAGCACAGCAGATTTCTCTTTGCTTAGCTACGTGCTGCTTTCTTGTGGTGCTTAAGAAAAAAGAAACACCTTTTTCTATTCCTTTCTGCCCCTCAGCAAAGCTATTTTTGTAGTGCTGTACAAATTTAAAACATGTTATTTAATTTAAATAATGCACAGCATGAAATGTTTACTCTCTGTCTTTAATCATAAAACCTTCAGTACTAAAACAGAATAATTGAGATAGGGGCCTATCTACCCTATCACCTACTAATTGCCTGCATTTACTGATGATAATACTCTTCTGCAGGTATGTATTTGAACAAACAAGGCTCTAATGCAGTGATTTTTTTTTTTCAGTCAGACAGGCTGTGAAAACCATTCTTTGTTGCCAGAGTAGGTTAGATGGAACAATGCAAAGTCTATGCTCTTCATTTTGTGGGAACAACACTGCCAAGTATTCCCCTGTAGAGCAGATGAATAGAGCTATGAAGAAAGTGGCAGCTTCACCATTGCTTTCTAATCATTCTAAACAATACAATAGAAAATTAAGACCACTACTGAATTCCTGAGGGTGGGTCAAGAAAAATAATAATCTGTCTACAGTTGTGTGGGAAACAGGAATTATTTCTATGCAATACTGTAGGTTTCACTCTAACTAGGTTCTATGAGGTTTGCAAAAACAAATAGCTCATTAATTAAAAATAGAGAACAAATATGTAAAAATCTTTCTTGGAGATTTTTTTCTCCCTGCAGAGAAGAGCACTAAAGCTATCGTGTATATTTAGAGGTACCATCGGTTGCTTTAGAAGCAGTTAGATAAAACTTCTAAATTGTGACATAGTATTTTGTCTACCAAATTTATACATACATTATGTATGGTATGCAGTTACTGTCAAAACGCAGCAAAATTTAAAAGTTTGTTTAAAAGTGATCTAAAGATGGGAAGGTTGTACAAGATTTATTGAATTCCCATCTTTATGATAACTTAAGAGCCTCTGGGTAGATATTTAAAAAGAACAGAGAAGTTAATTCCTCAATACTTTAAAAAATTAGGTGTTTTTTTTTCTTCTAAATGTTTGTGGCTAGCTTGTTATGTATTTGCTTTTCAGCTCATAATTACTAGAAAATGATGGTAAAACAGTAACAAACTGACAGGGCCAGACTTGAGCCTACCACTAATGTATATTGTTTCCATATCCTTAGGGACATGAAACCTTTCGGAAAGGGTTTGAAGACAAAGAACTACTAGACTGCTGAAGTTGATACGAGCTTCTCTGAGAAAAGCAGCAGAGCCTGGAGGACCTGTGATAGGGAGCAACTGTTTTTCAGATACCTGCAATCAATCTCAGCTGTGCTTTTCTGCCAGCTGCTACAGAGCAGATTAGCAGACATGTCCATAGCACTCAAGCAAGTCTTTAATAAAGATAAGACTTTCCGCCCAAAACGCAAGTTTGAACCGGGAACCCAGAGGTTTGAACTTCACAAACGAGCGCAGGCCTCTCTGAACTCAGGTGTGGATTTGAAAGCGGCTGTGCAGTTGCCCAGTGGAGAAGACCAAAATGACTGGGTGGCTGTCCATGTTGTTGACTTCTTCAATAGGATCAACCTCATTTATGGAACTATCTGTGAGTTCTGCACAGAGAGGACCTGCCCAGTGATGTCTGGAGGCCCTAAGTATGAGTACCGGTGGCAGGATGACATGAAGTACAAGAAGCCCACAGCGTTGCCAGCACCCCAGTATATGAATCTTCTCATGGACTGGATCGAGGTGCAAATCAACAATGAGGATATATTTCCTACGAGTGTAGGTAAGTGTGAGGAAGAAGTCCTAAAGCGTAAACTACCTTTCATTCTTGTACTAAGTGTATTCTCTTCCCACTCTCATTTTCAGGGATTGTGAAATTCAAGCCTTTAAACAGCAGGCAGGGAGGAGGAGAGTGTCTTGCAGGAATAGTGCGAAATATATGAAACATTAACTGTGCTGCTAGATAAGGTAGGCTTTGTTAGCCTCAAGGGTTTTCATTGTAGCCATTTGTGCCTGGTAAGCCTCTCAGGTTAATCAGTAAGGGTGGTCATTATTGCATTATTAGCTGTCGAAAGCTGATCAAGTTTGCATTGCTTTGCACTTTGCCTGGCCGCTTAGGCGATACAGAATGGGTGGAAAGCAAAGCCTAATTAGCAAAGCCTATCCTCCCTTGGAAGTGTGTGCAGCGATGTGCAGGACAAGGCAGTGGCGAGTCAGGAATGCAGTGAACTCTGCCTTCCCACAGTCTCTTGATTTCCCATCCAAAACTGACAAATTGGGAAATTAATTATTCTCCAAATTACCGTTTCTAAGGCTGTATACAACTAACAAGCTTTGCTATGGTTTAACCAGACAGCCCAGATGAGAGAGCTGTTAAAAGCAGCACAATTTTCCTGTTAAAATACTATAGTTAGTTTTCCTGAAGAGTGAGAAAGTAGCTGGAAGTATCTTTGCTGGCATAGTTCTCTTAGGATGAGGAGGACTTTGCAGAAGAGTGCATTATGTGGTGTAGACAGCCTAAATCTTTAGCTGTAGCTGCAGGTGATAAAAAAAGACAGGATGCTATACCTTAGAGATGTCAGTGTATTTACGTAATTTTTATATCAGTTTTAGTTAATGAGTCCTGATTCACTTCTTGCAAGTGGGAAAGCTGGGAGCTTGCTGTAAAAAATGTGAGCTGTTACATACAAGCACTTGGCCCAGATGAGTAACAAACAAGAATGCTCACACGTTAAAATTAGTTCAGCCGAATATTTTGCAGTTTGTATGCAACTAATGCCTGTGGCTAGTTGATAGATGATACCTTAAGAGGCTGTGTATTTCCTGACCTTTGAAATGCTTTGTTCTTGGTATTGACAGCTATTTGTCTGGAAAAACTTGTGGTTTCTTTCCCGGTTTCTTTCCCAGTTCCTATCAGTTTTCTTTTCTACACTAATAGGTAGAAAGAAGGCAGTAACTGTACCTTTTAATCTGGACTTTTGTCAGCCCAGCAAGAAGGATTTCAAAGGAAGCGGTACCGTATATTTCGTGTACTGAAAAATGTGTTTGATTTCTCAAGCATTTGTTGTTTTTTATTTCTTCAAGGTGGATGGTTTTTGGAAGTGAAGGTGGGTTGAAGCTGCAGTGAAGTATGTGATTTTGCTTCCACTGGTATTTTGTCAGGCGCTTGTTATACCAAGCTTCCTTCTTGGGGTATTCCGGTATTACTCTGTGCACTTGCAGCTTGCATATGCAGAAAATGTAGTTTGTCTGCAAGCATGGGAAGTGGGTAACACACTGGCATGCTGATGGGCTTTCCTGAAGAAACAAATCATCTGTAACACACAAGCTTTCAGCTTTACATGCTTCCCCTTTACGTTTGTAGTAAGATACATCTGGAGGATCTTTTATCCTGAAGGCTTACCTATTGTAAACCTAAGAATGGAAACAGTAAGTATCCTCAATCTACTGTTTTTCTTCTCCCAGCAGCTCCTGCTGTTGTAGATTAAATCAAATTTGAAGCAACAGGAAGGGGAAAGACCTGTGATCTCTACAATAGGGCTGGAGTTTGATAGAAGTCAGAATAGGAATGCTTAATGTCTGTGAAAAATCTCACTCTGAATTGGCTCGAAGGAGAAATGTCTGCTTGAGCCTTCATGGAGTGATGGACTGTGCCATGGTTGCATTACAAACTGAGATGATTGGACAGTCTCATAAAGAGATTTTATAGGTATGCATTGGAGCGTTATTCCATAGAGCAGCACTTGCATCTGTGTTCCACTCTCCCCTCCTCTTGAGCCTTTGTTGCAGATACCATAGTGGCCACCTGCACGCTTCTCATTATCTTCTTGATTCATCAATTTGTGGCATGAATCTGTTGGTAAAATTGCTTGGTAAGCCTTAGACCTTACAGTTCAGAAACAAATGCACACTGTATTGAACTGGGAGTTCTGGGTACCTGTTCTCTCAGCAAGTCCTTACTTAGGCACCTATAACAGTCAAAGGGAGGTTTGGGTCTGTTCCTGGGTAAGTCACTTTTTTCCAAGGGAATCTTTCTGATTTATTTGCACACCAATCCCTTATCTGTAAAACAGAGATGATAACTACCTGCCATCCTGTCTGAGTACTGCCTATAAAGCTGTTGAATGAAATGCAGTCATTCTGCATGGAAGTTGTTACATGTTTTGCTTTTCACAACTGATCAGAGAGAAAAGCTTTGTTATTGTGTTGGGTACTGTTCGTTCCTGCCTGTTGTGCAGCAGCCTTTGGTTAGATGGCATCTAGGCTTAGTATTAATGCCAGCCTCTATTTTCATTTAGAGAAATTAATGATGGTGAAAATGACAACTGTTCATTCTTCAAAGGAGTTGAAATAGATCTTGAAAGATGACATACTCAGATGTGAAAACAAAACAGGCTTAGGTATGTCCTTATTAATGGCACAACAGTTTTAAAGCGTTGAGTGGCTGTAACTTAAAGAGATTAATTTATTGCTTTGAATCTTTGTAGCATATGGTCTGCAGAGAATTGTTCTGGAAAAAGTGTGTGTCCAGTGGACGGGATTTGGGCTGACCTTTCCATTAGCGAATGAGTTTGATGAAGAGACTCAGTGAGAGATTCACAGGAGCTGTCCACAGAAACTTGAACACTTTTTTTCCAGCTTAATTCTATTAAATTTGTCCTCTTTCATTTGACATATGTCATGCAAACTGTCTAAAAAGGAATTTCAAGTGCTGTGATTAAGGGCAGCTTTCACTGAGGAGCTACTTTGAAGGAAAATAATTTCAGGATAGGGATAGCCAGGCTTGGTGGGCTTTTTTTTTTTTGTGTGTGTGTGTGTGTGTGTTGTTGTTCCTCTGTGGTTTGAAAAAAAACACGAAGGCAGTTGAGTTATAAATTGTTATGAATGTTATATTTAACCTCGATGTTTACATTGGCACGATGACCTCTGGCCACTTACCAGTCTCTGTACTTCCTGTGCTCTGGTGCTATTTCCTCTCTGCTTTCTCCAGTCATTCTGGTCTATTCACTTGCTGGTAAAGAGCCTCTTCCTCTAGCCGCTTTCATACTAACGCTGAATTGGCTGGCAGGAGAAAAGGGAGCTGGCATGGGAATGGAAGACGTGTCAAGAAGTGTATGCAGGTGACAAAAACAGGTGCTGGACAGTATAGCAAAGCTTTAAGGACTGTATTTGTAAAGTGGGCTCAAGCCTGTAGAAGATTTTAGACGTGATTATGTCCTTGTTCTTATTTCCATTTTCTCAATTTCCTTTATCCATTTTAAGTGGATTTAAGGCATGTAAGAGGCTGACAGCACTGTAAACAAGTTCTGTATGTAACCACAGATACACCCTGTCTCAGCCCTCACTGAGTGAGGAGCCGAAGGGAGGAGAGTTCATTCTGTATGCCTGCTGAGACCTCTCTGGTGAAGCTAGCCAGTAGTCTCCAGCATGAATTTTTGTAGTGTGTTGGAGTTTTGCTTAGCTTTAGGGTAAACTCTTTTTCTTCAGTAAATACTAGTTGATCTTCCAGACACCTAGAAGTCTTACTATTTAAACATCTTTCAAGAGATAAATTTCCAAGGCTCGTATGGACAACCTAAATACTCCATAGCCTCAAAAGTACCTTTTCTGTCTCCTCTTACTTTTTTTATCTCTGTGTTTTTTGGTAAGCAGGCTGAAGAAATGATTTGGAGTGGGAAGCAGTAGATTCTTGGGACAGCTGCAGGTTTTGGTGAACCTGCAATTGACAGCTTTCACCATATGTGTTTGGGCAGTATCAAAAAAAGGAGCTAAGAAAGCAAGCAGCTCTCTACTGCTGTGCTCCCTTCAGGCCCTAATTCCCAAACAAGACAAATTCAGTTGCCTTAGGTATTTCTCCTCCTCATTGCACCCTTAAATTGGGAGTAATTCTGTCTGGTTTGGATTTTCAGTGAATGGAACTTTTTTTCTGTTGTAAGGGATGCTGGGAAAGATACACAGATATTTAAGGCTGCAGGGGATTGTTTCATTTACTCTAATCTGACCTCCAGCATAACACAGGCCAGAGAATGTCACCACATGATTTCTTCATCAGTTCCATAGTTTGAAATGAGAAGACAGTCAGAAAACAGAGTTCTGCTGAAATAAACAAGAACATGAACTTCTTTTCTGACTTGACATGATGAAAAACTTTTCCCAGTGAGGACAATAAAGCAGCTGGGAGGGAACCCAGAAAGGTTGTACTGTCTCCATCCTTCAGGATTTTCAAGACCAGGCCGGATAAAGCCCTGAGCTACCTGATCTGATCTGATTGCTATATAAAGCAGAAAGCTGGGATGCAGACCTCCCAAAATCTGTGCCAGCCTGAATTATCTTGTGATTCTTACTTCTAATTTCAGCACTGACAGGCTGCTTCAGGAAAAGAGCTAAATTGATTAGAAACTGGTTAAGCAGTTTAAGAAGCTTCAATTTGGCATTTAATGGAAGTTCAGAATCACTTTTAAGCTATGAGAGTTTCTGTAGATGAGGATTTCAAAGGTTTTTAAATTACTGTAATCAAATAGCCTAGTTATGGCTGATCAAAATGAAAACATACTTTTAAAGTCTAGGGCTTCAGCTGAAAAATTAATGTATCTTTAGAAATACACTGCCTCGTCGATGCTTAAGTAGTAAATTTTGGTAACTGGCAGCTTCAGAGTTTTTGCACAGAGCATGTGTGTGACACTACTTCCAAAAGAAGAGCCCGATATGTCGCCACAGTGCATCTACAAAAGCAGACCAAGACTCTGGAGGGCCCTTGTGAATGTGATTCAAAACAACCACTGAATCAAGAACTTTTTCATTTGTTTCTTACTGACATTGTAGTAGAATTTTTCTGGTTCTCTAAATAGTAATAATAGTTACCACTTGGGGTGCTTTTCTGCAGGGACAGGGTAGCAGCTGACTGGTGGGTGAGAACAGAGACTCCTCAACTACTTTTCCTGAGCAAAGACCTCTTCACAATACAGCCTGTAGAAATGTGAGGCGAGTGTTTGACATCATTGACTTTGTCTTACAACTGTCCCTGTCTTATTGCTCTTCCAAAGTATGAGGAGGTGCCCGTGGTGTAGGCAAAGTGGCGTTTGCTGGCATTTGCTGCGTATACTATTTCTTCGCTCTTTGCAGTCGTTACAGTTGCACTGTCTAGGAACTGCCATCACATCATGCACACCTGCCGTGCAATAAAAAATGTACAATCTCCGCAGCTGGTTTGTTTCTTTCATTTTAAGATAAAGCTCTGCCAGGGGCTGAAGGGAGGGGTCAGATTGCTGACTGTTAACTGGTCATTCAGTCACCCAGTGGTGGATGCATACAGCTGTAGGCTACCAGCTGAAGTCTGTTGTAAATTCCAAACAATCCTTTCTGCTTGATCTTTACACCTGTCATGCCAGTGCTGGATTTGGGCTAAAGAAGAATTTTGTTCTGTAAAGCTTATCTTGCATCACGATGGACGTGCTTGCCAAGAGCTTTGAGTTAATCCCTTGTGCAAATGAAATGAAGAAAATTCTACAAGACATGGACTATTGTAAGGCTGTAGCTTTCCTCTAGTCATTAAACTTCGTGAATTCTGTGCATATATGTATGTTACAGCAAAGTTATAGCAGCAACATAGCTATCTTCTTTAAAAGTTTGGTGTCTTGAAATTTATGTGCCTGGAAAATATCAGGTAGATATTTTACTACTAGATTATATGTCAGAGCTTCCTCCTACTCTCCTATTTTTCCTGTAGTTCAGGATCTAACAGATGCTTCTATGTAAACTAAGCTGGCAGATGAATCAACTCACAAGCCTAGTACACTTCAAGAGTACTATCAAAGAGGATTGATAAAAATTTTATTGGTCCCATCTGTCAGGTGAGTAATGCAGTTTACTAGATAGCCATCTGGCTGGCCTTTTTAGCATTACATTACTTTTTTGCTGACCAATTATACTTTAGAGCCATTTGATTCCCTGTTTTTGTGTGATATCTAAAGTGCCTTGACAAGTCTGGGCATCCTCCTTATATAAGAATAGGTACTGAAACTTAGGAGTAGTCTTAGACAATCCTCAAGACCAGTCATTGTTGACTGGCAGGTGACTGCTCCCAACACTATCCTCCCCAGCTGTCTTCCTCAGGGTACCCTCTTGCTGTGATGCTAGATGTGCCATTTGAGGAACACAGAATCAGAGAATCATAGAATGGTTAGGGTACGAATGGACCTCAAAGATCATCTAGTTCCAACCCCCATGCCATGGGCAGGGACACCCTCCACTACACCAGGTTGCTTAACGGCTCATCCAACCTGGCCTTGAACACTTCCAGGGATGGGGCAGCTACAACTTCTCTGGGCAACCTGTTCCAGTGCCTCACCACCCTCAGAATGAAACATTTCTTCCTTAGATCTAATCGAAATCTCCCCTCTTTCAGTTTAAAGCCATTGCCCCTTATCCTGTCTCTACATGCCCTTGTAAAAACTCCCTCTCCAGCTTTCCTGTAGGCCCCCTTTAAGTACTGGAAGGCTGCTATAAGATCATCCCGGAGCCTTCTCTTCTCCAGGTTGAACAACCCCAACTCTCTCATCCTGTCTTCATAGCAGAGGTGCTCCAGCCCTCGGATCATCTTCGCAGCCCTCCTCTGGACTTGCTCCAGCAGCTCCATGTCCTTCTTGTGTTGGGGACTCCAGAGCTGAAGGTAGTATTCCAGGTGGGGTCTCACGAGAGCAGAGTAGAGGGGCAGAATCCCCTCCCTCGACCTGCTGGCCACACTTCTTTTGATGCAGCCCAGGATACAGTTGGCTTTCTGGGCTGTAAGTGCACATTGCTGGCTCATGTTGAGCTTCTCAGAAGGTCTAACACTAGAGGCAATGTAGGACCACTGGTGAATGAGGAGAGTGCCCTAATGACAGAGGATAAAAAGAAGGCAGAGTTACTGAATGCCTTCTTTGCATCAGTCTATACTGCTGGAGGCTACCCTGATGAGCCCTGGAACCCTGAGGCTCCTGAGGAAGTCAGGATAGAGGAGGAGTCTACCCTGGTTGATGAGGACTTGGTTAGGGACCAGTTAAGCA